AATTAACATTCAAAATTCAACAAACATCCAATCGGTACAAAAACCTGTTCCATTTGCCTATAATTATTATGTTAAGCGTGCATTCGATAAAAACTTAGATATAATTAGGATATGTAGTGGGGAAAATTCAACAGGTCATTTTTTTCAATATATAGTCAAAGATGTTCTATGTATTTACAATAATTATTTATGTAAAGTTAAACCTATGAATACTTTGACGTCTGCGGAACGCGAGAGAAAAAAAAACCAATACAATTTGTCACATTTGTGGGAAATTGTTTTTGCCTCTCGACCACAGGGTAGCTGATCACTGTCATTTGATAGGTGATTATAGAGGACCTGCTCATAATACGTTCAATTTGGATGCAACATTTGTTCCAATATTTTTCCATAATCTTTCAGCATACGATTGTCATTTGTTTATTAGGGAACTTTCATCTATTAATGGTAGCATAAGTATTATTCCACAAAATAAGGAATTGTACATCTCCATATCTAAGAGAATATAAAAAAAGTTCATTGATCTGCGTTTTTTAGATTCATTTAAATTTATGCCAACAAATTTATAAACACTGGCCCGATACAGATTTAATTGCTGTCAAATCCGTTTATCCTAACGCTAATGATTTCAATTTGATGAAACGTAAGGGAGTCTTTCCTTATGGTTATCCAAACTCTATTGATCGCCTCCAAGAAATCCAATTACCACCACGTTCATCCTTTTTCAATAAATTAATCAATGAAGCATGTAGTGTAGATGATTATGAACATGCTAGAAAAGTCTGGAATACATTGCAATGTAGAACGCTCGGAGACTACTTACTATTCTATTTGAAAGTTAAATATTTTGCTATTATGTGATGTCTTTGAAAATTTCCGAAAAGTATGTAAAAATATTTACAAGTTAGACCCTTGTCAATACGTCTGGTCTGCCTTGGGATGCAATGTTGAAGACAACGGAAATAGAATTGGAATTATTGGCTGACGTTGAACCATATAATTTTATTGTTCGAGGTATAAGGGGTGGCATTGTTCATTGTTCTAAAAGATATTCTTTAGCTAACAATAAATATATAAGCGATTATGATCCTGCTCAACAATCAAATTATCTAATTTATTTGGATGTAAATAATTTATATAGTTATGCCATGTCACAATGTCTACCCCATAAAAATTTTGAATGGATGACAAATTCGGAAAATTTTAATTTACGTGAGGTGAAAGATGACTCAGAAATAATATATATACCAATTTACATTGGTTTTACCGTGTTAGAATTATCCAAATGTACAATTTCCATTATGATCACATAAAACCTAAATATAAAGAAAATATTAATCTAAATTACATGGATACTGATTTATTTATGATATTGGAACAAATAACTTACTTCATGACATTCGAGATGATAACAGCTATTATTTAGATATGTCCGCACATCCAAAACAAAATATATTCGATTTCCGAACTAAAGGAAGGAATCCACCGAATTTTGGGATTGAGATAACTCTCGGTATAGTAGCAGTACCCTTGTTACTCATCCTTAATTTTGAATGTATTGCATTCTAAGCTATTTTTACCGCATCCATAATATTAATTAGTTTGCTTTTTTCAAGATATTTTAAGTCTTTTTAACAGCGGTTAAAAATAGCTTTTTCCATCGCATGTTCCTCTTTTTCTTTCTCTTCTATTTTTCCTCCCCTTTTTTTTCTTAAATTTTCTTGCTTTTTTCGTCTTTTTGCTAGTCTTACTAGCACTCACACCGAGACCAAATTTCACTTTTGCCTTCATTGCATTCGTTACGAACCAAGCGTTTATGCGTTCTTTTAAATTACTGTCTTTAGATTTTACTCGTTGCCTGGCTTTTTCTGTTAATATCTTATCAGCTTGATGTCTCTTATTAATGTCTCCCGATTGTGAATGCTCTCGCGCTAGACGTGTTGCTAGTTTCATCCCTGGACCACAAAATTGATAGCCAGGTAAATGTAGTTCAACAAGTAATATATTTATTAGGCTGTTTACGAAATCTCGTCCAATTTTAGATTGATTGACTGATATTATAGTTCATAACCATTTTTTATCGTTTTATATACAATAGAACCAGGATCAAAAATCAAAATAAGTGGTATTTATATATAAAAGCAAATTAGTTTATCGTTATGCGTTTAGTTAATAAATCGAAACAAATCGTTGTAAGGAATGCTGACGATGTTTGTTTGCAAAAAGGAAAGACTAAAATTGTACATAGTACTCTATTACCGAACTCAATACGAGCATTAATTGTGGTAAGACAAATGTTATGATTAGCCTACTAGAAAATCCTAATGGCCTCATTTTTAAAAACATCTACATATATCGTTATCTGCAGACACTGATCGGTCCGATAAAGGGTATAAACTTATTTACATTCTCAGAAAATGAAAAAGCCTATCTAAGGCAAAACCACATTCAATAATGATATTCGATGATGTGATATGTAATAAACAAAATACTACAAGGAATTACTTTTGCATGGGTAGACACAAACACATTGATTGCTTTTATTTATGACAAACATATATGAGAATTCCTAACCATTTGATACGAGATAATGCAAATATGATAGTAATATTCAAACAAGATGAAACGAATATGAGACATATATACAATGATCATGTTATCGGTGATATGTCATTTAAGAAATTTTTAACGATTTGTGCTGGAAAGATAAATATGGTTTTGTTGTTGTGAGCAAGGATGATCGAATTGATAAGGGGCGATATCGGAGAGGTTTCGATAATTTCATACAGTTCAGTTAGTTAAATTAGATATAAAGCTGATCATTATCAGATATAAGCAGACCACTATCAGATATGAAGCTAATCATTATCGGATACAGAGCAGATCACTATTGGATATAGAGCAGAGTACAAATGAGTAACGAATTATTAAAAGAAAGTATAAAGACACGAGCGCGAAAGCGAAGCTAAGAAATATTAAATTGAATCAAATAGAGAAGGTTAAGTTATTGGAAGACACATTTCAGTCTATAACGCAGCCTTTGAAACGGATAATTAAAAAACATGATAATAACAATTCTACACCGCTGACGTCATCATTGACGAATGATTCGATAGAAAATCATAACAATGGTGGTGATGAAGGTGACAACGACGATGATGAATTTAATAATGAGATTAATGATGTAAATAATATTGATTATAATGATGTTGAGGTTCAGGCAGACAATGACGTTGCGATGGGTAACAATGATATTGAGATGCCTACATATAATTCTTTATCAAATTATAGATATAAACCAAACGGAGGACAAAGAAGAAAAACTAAAACAAATTTATTGAAACATGGAAAGAGTAGAAGTAGTGCAAAAACTAAAAAGAATTTATTAAAGTATGGAAAGAGTGGAAGAACTGGTAAGAGAATATTGCGTAATACCCCTCTAACCGCAACTGCATCAACACATGTAGTTCATGATACAGAAAATTCTCCATATGTTGATTACGTAGGTAATCAAGAAGAAGGAGGAGCTGATTTTCATAATCCGGAAGAAGACATGATTATTGATAAAACGTCTTTGGAATCATCATCACTATTAAACAACAACAGCAAGAATAAGAAAAGGTTTAGAATTAAAAAGAGTTTAAAGCGAAACAATATAGGAAATATTAAGTGGGCTATGAAGCCAGGTGTGTTTCAGCTCATGTTTCACTCAAAGCCTCAACATTATACAAAAAGAGATTTGGTAAAATATAAAGATATTCTAATAAATACAAATGTATACAAACGTCATTATCAACCAGGCGCGCAAAGTAAATGTGCAGAAGCATTTAAATATCAACGTGTAATAAGACCAGTATTTAATCAGAAATCAAATCGAAAGGTAGTGGGCTATCGTTAAAGTCATTAGACACTCGTAAACCTATCTATACCTATTGGGACGATCATAACGAGCTAGTTGATAGATTACGCTTCTTCCGAAAGTGCTGAACATAATAATCACAAAAACGAAATAATTTCGATTGTTGAGGAATTGCGAGAGGCCAACATAATTAAATAATAATAATAATGAGTTCTATAAATAAGTTTGGAGAAGGTTTAATTAATCATCATCAGTATAACAATTCAAAGTTAAAGACAAATTTATTGAAAATGCTTGGCATTACTATAAATAGTAGTAGCATACATTTCATAAGGAAAGAATTTGTAATTTAATTACACCTACAGACCCCAAAGATGCTGTAACAAAAGCATATGTGCTAAGAAAAAATGATGTGTTAACAGATAGTGTAAACAATCTAACAACTACATACACTTCAAAAATGGATCGCATTGAGGATGATATGAGACAATTTCGAAACTCATATGATTTACAGATGAATAGTATGAAAAAACAAATAGATGAATTATACACGACAATCAAAGATGATATTAACAGCGAAGCTAAACAAATTGAGATAACTCTTAAGAATCAACTAATTAATGCAAATGAAAGCTATATGAATAAGATTGCGGAGCGATTCGATAAAATTGAAGAACATATTTTCAAATGGTTTGGAGTGAAACAACTACAAGAAAAATATGGTGAACAATTGAATAGTATGAGAGATGATTTAATAAAATTACAAACTACCCTAACAAGTAACGTTGAAGAAGATGTTAAATTAATTGAACAGACTGTTAAAGCGTATTTGCATAATGAGAATAAGGAATTTATAAATAAAATTGAAGAACGATTTCAAATAATTGAGGACTACCTTTTCAAATCGATTGGTTTAAAGCAGCGACAACAAGAAGACAAGGATATAAAAAGAAGGAGAACTAATTAAAAAGAAACAAAAATAATAATTTTTTCTATCTAAAAAACAACAACAAACCAGCAAACAAATAAAAATAGATTAAAGGTCATAGATTTTGCATGATGGATCTAAACAGGGATAAAAGAGATATAGTTAATAAAACACAAACAAGCACGCAAACATTTCAGAAGAAGACGAGTTGTCATGAAAGGAATTGATGATTTGTGGCAAACAGATCTCGTTGAAATGATAAGCTATGCAGTACAAAAAAACGGTTATCGTTACATTTTAACAGTAATAGATACATTTTCGAAAAAGGCTTGGGTTATGGCGGTGAAAAACAAAAATGCTCAATACGTAATGAATGCTATGAAGGGAATTTTTGAGAAAAATCATCGCAAACCGAAAAATTTGCAAACTGATAATGGTAAAGAGTTTTTCAATAATCAATTTCATCAATTGATGCAAAACAATCACATTAATCACTATTCAACATATAGCGTTCTGAAGGCGTCCATAGTAGAACGGTTTAATAGAATATTAAAAGGAATGATGTGGAAAGAGTTTATTTTTCAAGGAACCTATAAATGGATTCATATATATAAGGACCTTTTCGATAAATACGATAACACATTTCATAGAACGATGAAAATGACACCAAAGCAAGTGAATTCTTCAAATGAGAAATCTCTTCTGGATACGGTATACAGCAATTTAAAAATATTCAAAAGACCAAAGTTCAAAACAAATGATTATGTACGAATAAGTAAATATAAACATCAATTTGAGAAGGGCTACACACCCAATTGGACTACGGAGATCTTTAGAGTGAAAACTATAAGAAATACAAATCGAAATACATATTTGCTTGAAGACTATCAGGGGCGTGAAGTTAAAGGTGGATTTTATGAATATGAATTAATGAAAACTAAGTTTCCCCAAACGTATTTAGTTGAAAAAGTTGTAAAGAGAAGAGGAAATATGGTCTATGTTAAATGGGTTAGGATTTTCATCGAAACACAGCTCTTGTATGAACAATATATCTTAATTATAATAAAAGCTATCAGAGACATTCTTAGATAATTTATTCACTCATATCATTCAATTCCAAATGTCGATCGGGAAAACAACTTATTTCATATTGGTAACCATCAAATCACAATTCCTATTGGTACATATGAGTTTTCTGACATAGCCAATTTAATTACAAGTAAATATCATGATGTGAATGAGAAAGGGCGCAAATTATAAGCAAATTATAATACGTTACATACACACATAAAGAGTACAATAGATCCAATTTATTTCGATAAGAAGCGCTCGATTGAATCATTATTGGGGTATAGTAAGAGAAAATTACAACAAGGTATAGAACACTTTTCAGATAAAACAATCGATATAACGAAAATGAATACCATAATGATTGAATTTAATATTATAAATGGATGTTATATAAACAACGTATCAGCGCCTACTTTTCATCAGTTCTCACTTACTGTTAGTCCAGGTTATAAAATTGTAGAGATACCGACTAATGCAATATATTTACCTATTGTTTTGAAAGTTGCCGATCAATCTGGTAATTTAATAAATTTTCGTGGAGAAAAAATTTCAATAAGATTGCATTTAAAACCATCATCACACACACATAGATGATAATATTCAACAAAAAAGAATTATTTAATGATTCAATGTTCACTTCGACATCATCATCAATAGAATACACCACGAAGAAATTATTATCATCATCATCAACGTCATCACTGTGTAGTGATAATAAGAGTAATAAAAAAATACAAACGAATAATACCAAGCAGCAAAACTACTAATACCCTAAGTAGAATTAATCAGGAATTTTTAAATAGTTTAGGGTTTCAATTGAAATAGCCAGAAAAACCAAAAAATGAGTAATATAATTAATATATTACAAAAACCACAGTTTGATAATTCGTTTACAAAAAAAGAATATGACAGTTACACATCATACTTACAATCATTTAAAAATAATGATGAAATTCGTATACCAATTCAAAATCAAGATTTCTATGCCTTACCAAGCGAAAGCTTTCTATATATTGAAGGAACTGCATCAAAGGAAGATGGCACAATCTCTAATAGCATAAAACTGTTAAATAATTGTATGGCGCATCTATTTGATGAAATTCGATATGAACTTAACGGTATAGAAATTGATCGTACACGTCATTTGGGTATTACAACGGAAATAAACAATTTCCCATCATTGAATAAACGTGAGAGTGAGAACCTATTGAATGCAGTATGGTCGCCATTTAATAACGATGAACTCACTATTGTAAGCGATTATTTCAACTTTTGTATACCACTCAACATGCTGCTTAGATTTACGGAAGATTTCAATAAAACCATAGATAATTCCGAACATGAACTGATTTTACTACGATCTAAAGACAATAAACAAGCTATTACAACTACCTTGGCAAACGAACAAATTAAATTAAGTATTTTGAATACTACATGGAAAATGCTACATGTTCAACTGGCTGACGCTTACAAATTGGAGGTGTTTAAAAAAATCAATTCTCGCCAACCGTTAAATATATGCTTCAGAACTTGAGATATGTATTATAGCATTTCGAAACGCCGAAAACAAATTCACTCATTGCAATTTAACGAATGTAAAGGTACATCTAAATTCCGATTCATATCCATACGATGATTTGAATCTTAGGTTCAATCAAAATCAATTCGCTCTACTCTATGACATGTATTCAAGATTTCAACAAAGTTATTATTCATGCGATCGATATCTGCTATTGAAACGTAATGAGTTTCTCATGCTTGCACGCAGTGTTGTTTTGGATGTAACACATCAAAACGAATCGGTTAAAATCGGACCAACCGATATTCGCATTGAATTGAAAGTTTCAAGTTACATACCAGCTAATACATCAGCATACTGTTTAATTATACATGATAAAATATTTGACTATGTACTCCTTACAAATGAAGTAAGAAAAATATTGTAAATTGTAATAAAATAGCAATAAAATAATATATACTTATTTATATATATATATGAATTTTTTATGAAACAAGAAAACGTTCTGTTTCTCTCCATATATATTTAGATAGATCATTTACATCTTGATCATTATATCTTTAAACTTAGCAGTGTGCGTTTGTAAGCAAAGAAGACAGGGGGTATTATAATGGAAATAAATATATATATTTTGCTTCTTGTATTGAAAATAGTGATTGGTAATCCTATACCGTTCAATATTACTACTCCTCAAGCAGATTCGAATTCGAAAACTGTAGAGTTCAATTTAACTCTACCCAACGATGATATTCTGAAAACTAATATATCATTTGCTATGATGAAATAAAGTGAAGCACTGGAATTTAAAGACAATGATAATCTATTAAAAGATCAAAGTGATGCTACAATGCTAACAACTAGTAAAACTATTTCACCACCTATTGAAGCACCAACAACGCAACAAGAACAAAAACAAGAAAAAACAACAGAACAAACATCATTAAAATATTTTTCAGTGGATGACGCTATAGACGTATATCGTAGATCGTTAATCAGTTTCGAAATGGATATAGGTGGTATACTGGAAACTGAGAAACCATTTTACAGACATTTCAATCTCAAATATGAAAATGTTGATGTACCCATTCATTGTTCTTATAAAAGCAAAGACAACTAAAAATAAATTGCTTCGAATATCATAAATTTGAACAAGAGAGAATATTAAGTAATGGTGAAATTGAGAAGTTTCGCACGCCAGACTTATCGCGAAGGCTACAGGACATTCGAATAGTTGATCTAAAAGATTATACACATACGTATAAAATGAATATTACGTAAGGATGAAATAGTTAGTTTCCAAGAAAACTTCAAAAAAGAATAAATATGAATATGAAAATTAACGGGTCAACGCTATACGCGTTTTTAATTTTCATTCATATTTATAATGCACAACTCCATTACACTCTCTCCCATTCTAAACGACTTTATGATAACAGAATTGCTAAATTTAATGGTGATACAAGTAAATATTTAAATTTTCGAATAAGACTTCCAAACGATACAACGCGTACAATGATACATTTATCACTTCAGTTCCAATTACCGGAAGATAAAATTTCAGCAACAACAACAACAATATCACCACGAGTATCAGCCTTACTAACAAATAATAGACAAGCAAGGCATGGTGCTTATAAACTATTTACAATAAATCATGTAATTGAAGCTGTTAAAAAGGATTTAATAGAAAAAGAAATAAACATTGGAGGTATTATTGAAAGTGCATTAGTATTCCATCGTCATTTCAATTTAAAATATGAAAATTGTGAAACTATAGTCAAATGTAGCTATTATAGTAATTACGTTAGCGTTAACTTAATATCCATTGCTTTGAATTTAATGATATACCTTCATATTTTGATGGTTATGATGATGGTGGTGGTGGGGTGGTGGTGGTGGAAATCAAAGAGAAAATTCAAACTTAAATGAACAAGAATATCAATATTAAGTTAGTCCACTCATCGGTCGACCCAAAAATGATATATATGTTAGAACTATTGATATCAACGATTATTTACAAACGTTCCATATGAGTATACAGTAATACGCATCACGTCACAGTAAAATAAATATGATAATAGAAAAAATATACACATTTTTAAGGACATTCTCGAATATTATTTCCGATGAAGATAGAAAGAAACTCGTCAGTATTCAAGCACATCTGGAAGATTTAAACAATCGCAGAATAACTCAAAACAAATATAGCGAACATTATGAGGACTACGTTTGGTCAGACGAGAATGCTATATGTGGACCAGATACATGTAACTGTACATACTATAAGGGAAAAAAAATAGAAGTAGAAAAAGAAGCAAATAAATTTATAGAATTCTATTATAACATAATATAAAATATAATTGAATGTAAACATTATACTTTTTTAAAAAAATAAATTATATAAGAAAAAAATCTCTCTTTTTCTCTCATCATCATTATTAAACAAAAAAAAAAAGGGAGAACTATAAAAATATTGTGTTTAGTTGTTTGGAGAACATTACCTTGTAACAATGCGTCAAGATAAAATAATTATTATTGATGTACAAGGTTTCTATAGCGCAAACAAATTTATTCCAAAAGAAGTTTTCATCTCCGCCTATGACTCACAGATCAAAAATTTCATAATTCAACCTCCATTCGAATATTCAAAGTTAATGGCGAGGGATAGGACTAAAAACAACTGGTTGTATAATCACTTTCATGGATTACGATGGGATGATGGTAATTCAACGTTTGTCACGGGTCTAGCTCCGCTGGCCGGTAGTGCGATTTAATTGATGGGGCTTCGCTTTCTGAGCCGCATGACAAAGAAAAAAAAAAAAACTGCAAAAAGAGAAAATGTTTTATGTCCGTAGCCTGTCGTTCGTCCGTCTAGAGTGAGACCGTCTGTATCTGTCCTATATCTCCCTACGGTTCCCCCACGGGAAACTTGAGAACACAGTTTTATTGGTGGTTATCCCGTGGCAAAATTACAAATTTTCAAACAGCATCAATGGCAAGCCATATGTAGGTAATTTTTATCTTGAGGCTATGCATACAAAAATCACCAGTCAAGTGAATCCAACAGTGTTTTTTCCACCTTTAATTTGAGCGAAAGTTTACCATTTTCTAAATGAATTTATCTGATGTCACAAAAACACACTTCCCAGCCTTCAAATGTTCTTCACCGTTTTTTCTTTTTTATAAGCAAAACAACAAAATTGCGAAGCTTTTCTAAATTACAATTTCGGTTTTTTTTTTTCTTCTGGCACCGTCGATATTAGTTGAGCTTTTGTTAACTCTTCTTTTTCTTTCAACTGCTTTTAATTGTTTACATTTTGCTGCTTTCGATTTATCAAATTATACTTCTCCAAATCTTTTTCTTTTTTTTTTCTTTTTTTTGCTTCTATTGAATTATAATTGCCCTATTTGCTTAATGAAGGCAAGGTAACAAAAATAAGCAAAAAAACACGCTTCAGAAACACTCCTTTTTTTCTTTTATTCAGAAAGAAACATAGCAAAACAATTCACAAAAACTTCTCATCTCGTGTTTAATTTTCTGTAACTTAATCGATAAAGGCAGCTGGCTACCCATTTTTGGTTAATATATTAATGTTAATATCTGTTTACAATCATTCTTTTTCTCTATTTTTTCTCTTTTACAATTTAAACTTAACAATAGTCTCCTCCTCAAACCAACTTCTCTTGATTTCGTGAGTTGGTAAATTAAAAAAATTAAATTTCTCTTATTCTGAACGTGCACTCTCGTCCGAACTTCAAGAAAACACTTCTTTCATCTCCCCTATGTATGTATTCTTGTATATATGATGGACTATTCGTCCTTTTTTTTTCTCTTATCTATTTATGTGGCACGGAACAGCTTTTATATGCTTTATCTGAACATTTTTAAACCATTTTGTTCTTTGCTGTTTGCTGATTAAGATAACCAATTTTTCTTTTCCCCCTTTTTTTTTCTTACAAATGATTTTGGTTAAAGAAGGGAATTTGTATAGCCTTCACTTTGTTTTCCTTGCACAATTCGTTCTTGCTTTCACTTGTTTTTCACTCTATTGATTGATTATTTTGGAGAATTTTGCAGGTTTGCAAAACGTAAAGAAAACGATTCAAAGCGTTTAGAGGACAAAATCAGCAATAATCCCAGTTAGTACAAATGTAGAGCTTTTTTTGGCTCAACAATACAGGCAAATGTTTCTTATTTTTCCTTTTAAGATTTTTGTTTCCACTTTTA